TATAGCATACAAAACAATTTTTATTGAGTTGCTTCAAAAGATTACATTCTCTTAGTTGCTTTAATTCCATTACAGGTCAATTTCAAGTTTTGAAACTGCGCTCAGATTTGCAAAGATCATGAAATTTTGCTTCAAATTCAAACTTTATAGATTTTTATGTGACTATCTATAATTAATATATCAATTCCACATTTAGCATTAAAATTTTAAAATTGTAGAACATTAAGAAAGATGTTTTTTCGTCTTGTGACGAGCGTGGGACAAAGAAAAAAATTCTGAGTCCCCACGAGGAATCGAACCTCAGACCTTCGGATAATGTATATGTTGATAGACTAATGTACATTCTCCAGCTATGCGATAAGTGTCCAACGAAAATTCGTCTCTATCCTCCATTGTGCTTTATGAGACCATGAGTAGTGTTCTTGACTTTTCGTAGATCGTCTGCAACTGGCTATCATTCAGGTAACTGACTTCCGGCTTGTCTGAGCCATCCCTAAGCTCAGTTGCTCCTAGTATCATGATTCATTGCAGGTGACACGCAGACTCTACAGGAAGCCCGTCCCAGTTCCTCTACTCTCACAGTGAGCCTTTCTAAGTCTATACTTGCTTCAAAAAACGCCAGCTCGTCTGAAGGCTGAAAAAAAAATCCAGTGTTGAACAAACTAGAGTATTTTAAGGTAGCCGCGATTTTGCTGTTTTGGTGCACCATTATGGCCTCTGTGACGTCATGTGAGATGCTTCATAGAGTTGGAGTAGAGGAAGAGGTTTCTGGTGTACGAATCTTTAAATATTCAAAAACGTTACCTTGTTTCTTTCTATCACTGCCCTCACTTTATCCGCCATGTTGGGCTCTTTAGTAAGAAGCACGAGAAAGCCTCCTCCTCCTGCACCCGTCAAAGTTTGTCCTATAATGAAGACATTTACAGAGGTGATGACTTCAGATCAATCCCCATCTCCCGGTATTACATCTCTTAGGTACTAAGAGTACTTGGTTGGTATCTGTTTCAAGCCGTATCCTACTTTCGTTGCCAAAATATATCATTTGTCGCCATTATTCTCTTTCGAAAGTAAATGAAAGTGATTTTAAAGTGACGCTTTCAGCCTGCTACCCTCGTAAGTCATTTAATTAACTTTTTCATTAAAAGAATCCTTCCCAGATTTGTGTGCCCCACATTAAATATATCTTTTGTCTCTTATCTTGTCTTCTTATTCAGCACCATTAGTCACAGGTCCTTGCTTTTCTTCCGTAACTTATACTTCGGACCGAGAAGACAAGGTTACTGAGAGGCATACTCATGTTTGTAGTGCATGATATTCTGGCATTTATAGCAACTGTTCAGTGGCATAAAAATTCCCTTAGTCTAATCATAATTCCAAAGTTCACGATAGATTCTCAACGTATGTGTTGTTAATTATAGTCATTCACTGACCTAATACTAAAGGTTCTAGAGCTTTCATCATTTCGCTTATGCCTTTAGGTTCGGTTCCTGTTTGAGATCACGAAGCGCAAAGTTAGTTGAGTATTTTAAACTGGTTCATCTGAAGATTAATAAGCATAAGGTATATACCATATATCATCCCTAGATAAATT